CTATCTGTTATTAATATACATTAATATATACTAATTATCATATTGCAATGTATTAATTAATTTAGACTAAATATTGTAACGCATTTCAGTTAAAAAAATAATTAAAAATAGACCTTTAATGAAATTTTTAAAAGATGTGAAATTCGATAGAGTTGTTTTATGTAATTTTTTTAACCCCAAAAAAAATTTAAAATCATTTTTTCTATTTTAATACGGTCTAACGTCCATTAGATGTGCAATCATTCAAAAGTGCCCAGTGTCGACTGAAATTAATTACATACGACTCCATGCATTGATCCAAACAGAATTTAAAACAATTATAATTAGCCATGAATATTTTTAAAAATATTTTTTTACAAAAAAATTTTTTACTTTTCACTGCATTGTCCGTAATTTAATGTTGTTTCTTTTTTTTTTTTAATCCTGATCTACAATCTACAAAAAAATGAAAAGATCTAGATCTAGATTTACTTCTAGCGATTTAAAAGTATGACCCTCTTTGTGGATGCGCTGTTAAACCGGAGTTTATATTTTGACCGGCATCAATGAGTTTAGTGCTGACAACTTGGATGTTGGTACACAAAGCTTTTGTCTAGTTTGAAAGTCAAAAATCGTCAATGCTAATCTAGTTTTTTCGCCACTGATATTTACGATCTCATTTGAATCGAAGTTTTTTTTTTGTCATGATGTATGAAGACTATTTTTAAAATTTAAAACAGCATTAGAAAAATCTTTAACATAAATAAATGTATTTTGTTTTTATTTTTTTTTTATTTTATATTGATTAGATTTTAAGGTAGAATTATATTCAAAATAAGGTGAACAAAGGAAATTTGCACCCCCCTCCCCTTGAGATTTCCATTTGCACCCCCCCCCCCTCAAACTTTCAATTTATTTTTCCAAGCCATTTTGGCGCCCCCTAAGGTCGGCGCCCGGGGACATATGTCCCCCCCCCCCCGCCCCTCGCTACGCTACTGCATGTCACACATCTTGTAGTTTGTATATTTATGTCAACACAGTTGGTTCTGAGAACACCAGGTTGTGATAAATTTAATTCAATGTTTTGTGGACGGCGGCACTACGCAGAGATTCGGTCGCTCTTATACAGAACTCAGTCTAGCGCTAGTGTTGAGGTACTCGGTGTACATGGGCTGCTAACGTCCTATTCGGCACACAAACTTCTCGTTCTAGCGCTAGTGTTGACGTACTCGGGTGTACATGGGCTGCTAACGTCCTATTCGGCACACAAACTTCTCGTTCTAGCGCTAGTGTTGAGGTATTCGGTGTACATGGGCTGCTAACGTCCTATTCGGCACACAAACTTCTCGTTCTAGCGCTAGTGTTGAGGTATTCGGTGTACATGGGCTGCTAACGTCCTATTCGGCACACAAACTTCTCGTTCTAGCGCTAGTGTTGACGTACTCGGGTGTACATGGGCTGCTAACGTCCTATTCGGCACACAAACTTCTCGTTCTAGCGCTAGTGTTGAGGTATTCGGTGTACATGGGCTGCTAACGTCCTATTCGGCACACAAACTTCTCGGTCTAGCGCTAGTGTTGAGGTACTCGGGTGTACATGGGCTGCTAACGTCCTATTCGGCACACAAACTTCTCGGTCTAGCGCTAGTGTTGAGGTACTCGGTGTACATGGGCTGCTAACGTCCTATTCGGCACACAAACTTCTCGGTCTAGCGCTAGTTTGTTTCTGGGGGGGGGGGGGGGGTGACACCACGAAGTATCGCACCAGGTGACACCTGACCTAGGGACGCCACTGTTATAATACTGAAACATTTTAAGTTTGTCATACGTCGAGTAAATATGTTTTATCATTGTACAATGTGAATAGATCTATGGTCACTTGATGTTATAGTCTATAAATGCTCGATTGAGGAAAACAAAAATACCGTTTCGCACTTTTTTTTGCGCAGTTTTCCTTTGCGCGGTTTTACGGTCACCCTATCAACTAATATTCTACTACACTGAACATTAAGACCCACTCATTATTTTAAGTCTTATGGTTGTTGGGTAATGGTGGGGGGGGGGGGGGGGGGGCGGAAGGAGGCACATACTGACAATTAAAGGAGGTCTAAACTAATTCTAACCTTGTAAACTTTATAAACAAGACGCGACTACATAAATTCCGCTGTACTGAGGTGCACGAAGCACTAATTGACCTTTACCCACTCAATCAGTTTTATTATCAAAGTAAAGGTAACCCATGATTCCAATCACGACGTAGAAGGCTGTACGTGGTTGACCAGTAATTATGCACAATTAATTCAATCGACAGAAAGGCATCGAATTCTATTTGACGGTTTGCCAGCAGGCTCCATTGCTGTATCCCCCCCCCCCCTCCCCTCGGGTGGTCGGGTTGTTTAATAATAACCATTTAGCTAGAACATTACTGTCTCTGTCAAATGTGTGACCTTCTCAGTTCGTCTCAAACCAACCCCCCTCCACCCAACCCTTCCCCACCCGACCCCCCTCCACCCGACCCCACCCGACCCACCTCCACCCGCCCGACCCCACCTGATCCCCCTCCACCCGACCCGACTCCACCCGACCCCCCTCCACCAGACCCCCCTCGCTTCCTGCCTAATGCTGTGCTGAAATAAACACGAAACATGCTAATTATAGGCGACTGGTATTAGATTTTACCTGTTATAATTTATGCTGCACAATGCTAAATTAAGGGCGCAATAATAAGTTACGTAATAATTAATTTTTGTTAATTTAATAAATAGCCCCTTGTTTTTACCACTCTGATAAATTAGTAGATTCGAGAATTGCTTCATTTAGATAGGCAGTGATAAGTCTTCAATGATGACCCACACTAGCTGCCAGTGACCCACCCTAACTGGGACACACCCTGTCTATGAACACCCTGCCAGTGACCCACCCTGCTAGTGACCCACCCTGCCAGTGACTCACCCTGCCAGTGACCCACCCTGCCAATGACCCACCCTGCCAGTGACTCACCCTGCCAGTGACCCACCCTGCCAATGAACCACCCTGCCATTGACCCACCATGCCATTGACCCACCCTTACTGTGACCCACCCTAACTACCAGTGACCCACCCTGCTAGTGACCCACCCTGCCAGTGATCCACCCTGCTAGTGACCCACCATGCCATTGACCCACCCTTACTGTGACCCACCCTAACTACCAGTGACCCACCCTGCAAGTGACCCACCCTGCCATTGACCCACACTACCTGCCTATATGATACCCCTGCTCCAACTAACCTAGAGACCTAAAATTAGGTAAACAAAACACCTATCTACCTGTCTACACCTGTACATTAAAACAAACAAAAAACTATGCTCTGATTTCTGTTAGCGTGGGTTGAAATTAAAACACCACAACTTGAAGTTAAAACAGGTTTAATCAGTTCAGTCGCTTACGTCCCTTGTTGTGCTCTTACCTCCCCTTGCCTCGGGATTTATTACCGTAGTTACCGGCCCTTGTGCCCAGCAAAGCGGAACTGATGCTCCTCTTTGTTTTGTGTGCGTTGCCAAAATGTCTCCGTCACAAAGATTTGGCTGCAAAAAAAAAGTTAATTAAGTTTATATAGGGTGAGGTGGGTGGGGTGGGGAGGGGGGGGGGGATAAAATTAGGCCACGTGCACCGTAAGTTGTTTTAACGTAGTTAATTACCGCTAGAACCTAATTGAAAATTAGACACAAATTGTGTGTGTTTTAATTAATCTGGCGTTTTTAGTACAAGATCACTCCCCCCCCCCCCCCCCATCAGAAAAACATCCCCCCCCCCCGCCCATTATAGTCCTTCTCGCCATTTCTACACACAAGCAAGGATACGTAACTATGTGAATAGCTACATGGTATCGGAGAATACGGTCATAGTCTACGGGATGTACACAAATTGATAATATCAACATTTTACCTCATTAATTAATTTAGCCGCTAATTGAAAATGTAATAACAAGCGTTTTCTTGGTTATCAGTGTTTCTTCCAGACATTTTTCTCCTGGGGGGGGGGGGGGGAGGGGCACTTGATATTTTCGGCGGGGGGAAGGTGCACTAAATATATGTTAAAAGTAAGTTTTCTATATGAATTGCATTTCGTTCGGGGGTGGGGGGGGGGTTGAGACCCCCGAAGAAAGTCTACCCCCCAAGAGATGCCTGGAAGAAACACTGCTGAGTATTAATTTAAGAATTTATTTTTTAGAGACTTAAATGTGGGGCTGTGTTATAATTTAAACTTCAAGTATGACAGTAGAACAATAGATACCCTTTCTAACAGCACTAGGGATTTGAACCAGCAACCCCCCCCCCCCTTATATCTTCTCGGCACTCTGCCAGACTTTTTCGGACCCTAAGTTATATCAGGCCCGCAGTCAATATCTTTGTAGGCCCTAGATGAATATTTCTGTTGGTCAGATTTCTCTCTCCCACCCCCTCCACCCCCACTCTTGCAAAAATGTCAAAGTGGTTTATTATCGTCGTGGCTAATAATATATGCGACCCTATTCCATCAATGTTTCTGTGACTTTCAGTGCTCCCCCCCCCCCCACATGTGTATATACTGTGTTGATGCGACACTGTTGAGACGACCCCCACCCTCTCCATGTTGCCAGGGTGGGGCAGAGTGGGGCCGTATGTGCACGTGCATTAACCAGACTTGGCGCGTGCACGTCACGCAGAAGACATGGCAGCTGCAGGAATGCACATGTCGTCTGCTACAAAACACGGTGCTGCAACAGTCGAGAGGGATCAGTGGCGTCCCCTGGGGGGGGGGGGGCATCAGTGGCAACCCCCGGGGGAGGGGGGCATCAATGACGTCCCAGTGTGGGGGATCACGGCAACCATCTCTACCGCCGTGACGTCATAGTCAGATACCGATTTGATTGGCTGACATTACACGGGGCGCGGTGAATCGTGCCTCGTCATTTGATTGGTCCAATCCGACACCGTTCTACAAGGGTTAGTTTTGCGCATCTGGCGCCCAGGCATGAATAAATTACCAATCATTGATCATAAATCGGAGAACTAAATGTTCTTGCTCTAGAAATTGTTTACAAACTACTCACGAAGTTTAGTTGATTGAGGACAAATATTAGGTAAATACGACTTGAGCTACAAATTGTAGGAACTGTAACTTTAACCTACTCAAGTATTCGTGTAAAAAAACAAACGTTCCCAACATCGCTGTAGAGTTGATGTTTGGTAGGTTCAAAGATGAGCAGCTCTTCATTGTTCACGTGACCCTCTGGTGTAGAGTACACCGAGCAAATCACGTGACTCTCTAGCACCGACCAGCAAATGTCCAGCAAATCCACTCGCTCTAAACACCTTGGCACCGTCACAAAAACACCATTATACAAAATAACCCAGCCCACGTAATAACCATTATTCTATTCCAACTGTTCCAAGTTTCAGATGTTGGTCAAACCACAGGCTAAACTTTCTAACATTTCAACTAAACTTTCTAACATTCCAACTAAACTCCCTAACATTCCAACTTTCAGATGTTCGTCAAAACACAGTTGCTGCTTACGTTGACACTTTTCGTTGTCTACGTCATCCACACGACGACAGCCGCGCCACAGAACCCCTGCATGTTCCAGGTAAATCAGCTGACCGGAAGTTGTAAGGGGCTGGGAGAGTTCAATACGTGGTAGATAAAATTAACGGAAGAGTTAAAAGGATTAGCAGAGATAGTTAGACTTTGGTTGTTTAGATCGTTTGACTGTGAATTATTGGTTTAGCAAATTATTTGTTTTCACATTGGTGTGGCCTGTAAATGGTGGGTGTCACACAAGAGGGGGGGGGGGGGTACTAGGGATAGTGTCATTCTCTCATCAAACAAACTATGTCTGTCAACCAACAACCCATGTCTGTCTGTCATCAAACAACTTATGTCTGTCTCTCATACAACAACCTACGACTGTCTGTCACCCAACACCCTATGTCTGTCTGTCATCGAACAACCTACGTCTGTCTGTCACCAAAAACCTATGTCTAGCATCCAACACACAATGTCTGTCTCTCATACAACACCCACCGTCTGTCTGTCATCCAACACCCACCGTCTGTCTGTCACCCAACACCCAACGTCTGTCTGTCACACAGTGCATGCGGGAGGTACTCAAGTGCAAGCGAGCAGAGAGTAACGGCATCTACTCTGAGGTCGACTGCTGTGAGAAGTACACGCTGTGCTACTTCATGTGTCAACCGGAAGCGGATACAGCGCCACCGTAAGTTACACCCCCATGAGAACGGGGGGGGGAGAAAGCATGCCAATATATAGATAACATTTGGGAGTGTGTCGATGGGAGGGGAGAGGGTGATCAGATATTGACAACAACGAGTGTCCAAACACATTGTCACGCCTTAACAACAAAACCCACACTCTTAACCTTAGCCCTCACCATAAGCCTAACCTTAACCTTAACCTTAATCTTAATCTTAACCTTAACCTTAACCTTAACCTTAACCTTAACCTTAACCTTAACCTTAACCTTAACCTTAACCTTAACCTTAACCTTAACCTTAACCTTAATCTTAATCTTAACCTTAATCTTAACAATAATCATAAACAAAACCTTAACCTTAACACTAAGGAAAGATAACTCGGCGAGCTCACATACATAGCACAAACTTTGAATTACGTCCCCTACTTGAGAACATTTTTGTCTCACTTGAAATTAATTTTTGACGTGTAGGCTATCAAAATTCCCTGATTTCAGCGGGTGTTAGAGTTAATCTATGCTAAGGACAGTTCTTCAAAGGGCAGGGGTGGCTGGAGGTGATAGGGTGGGGTGGTGGGAAGGGTGGAGTGGGGTGGTTAAATTAAATCAGCCAGATGGACATTAGATAAACCAGATATCATGTGCACCGATGTAGCATTTACTTCATGTGAATCAATGCAGCCTAGTTGGGTTTCTTTCAGGCTACTCTTCAAGGGAAAATGTCGCCCGCCACCCCCCCCCCCCCCACCCTTCCAGCCCTCCAGTGTAAATAGAAAAAAAAAATATTTATATAGAACATATATACTTTAACCAGCGTCCACCCCACTCCGGATGTTTTGGTGCACCCCGTCCATTTGGGAGAAAAACACGACTGAAATTAATGACTATCCTTCACGTGAACCCATGTAACCTTGAACCCACTTAACCTTCACGTGACCCCATGTAACCTTGAACCCATGTAACCTTTACGTGAACCCATATAACCTTGAACCCATGTAGTCTTCACGTGAGCCCTGCCCTAATTCACGTGAACCCATGTAACCTTGAACCCATGTAACCTTCACGTGAACCCATGTAACCTTCACGTGAACCCATGTAACCTTCACGTGAAGCCATGTAACCTTCACGTGAACCCATGTAACCTTGAACCCACGTAACCTTCACGTGAACCCATGTAACATTGAACCCACGTAACCTTCACGTGAACCCATGTAACCTTGAATCCGTGTAACCTCCACGTGAACCCATGTAACCTCCACGTGAACCCATGTGACCTTCACGTGAACCCTGCCCTAATTCACGTGAACCCATGTGACCTTCACGTGAACCCCGCCCTAATTCACGTGAACCCATGTGACCTTCACGTGAACCCTGCACTAATTCACGTGAACCCATGTAACCTTCACGTGAACCCTGCACTAATTCACGTGAACCCATGTAACCTTCACGTGAACCCTGCACTAATTCACGTGAACCCATGTAATCTTCACGTGAACCCCGCCCTAATTCATGTGAACCAATGTAACCATGAACCCATTTAACCTTCACGTGAACCCATGTAACCTTGAACCCATGTAACCTTCACGTGAACCCTGCACTAATTCACGTGAACCCATGTAACCTTCACGTGAACCCTGCACTAATTCACGTGAACCCATGTAACCTTCACGTGAACCCCGCCCTAATTCATTTGAACCAATGTAACCATGAACCCATTTAACCTTCACGTGAACCCATGTAACCTTGAACCCATGTAACCTTCACGTGAACCCTGCACTAATTCACGTGAACCCATGTAACCTTCACGTGAACCCTGCCCTAACTCACGTTAACCCATGTAACCTTGAACCCATGTGACCTTCACGTGAACCCTGACCTAACCCACGTGACCTCTCTTACAGCTGCAGCCCTAAAGGAAAACGTGGGAGCTGGAACAAGCGTGGCTCCTGGAACAAGAGAGCGATGCCAGCTGATTTCGAAGACTACGACCGCGCCAACATCTTCTAGTAACCATAGCAACAGCCCTTAGGGAGACGGACGCCCGGACGACAAGGCGGTGGCGTCTACGACAAGCGAGCGAACGTCTAAGACAGACTGATTTTACTTTTCGATTCTCGACGAAGAATAAAACTAGGGACGTTATTTAATCAAGCACAGAACAAATGCCAGTTGCCCTGCCGACTATTTTTGTAACCAGACTTTGTACAGACGAAACATTTTCATTACGTTTGCTTTGATTTAAAAAAAATAAAATACAGCCCATTATCATTAAAGATTTCTAATTGTTGTCTTTTAAAATTAACCTAGCATCTAGGTATCATGAAGTTGTCAACTGCCAGTGAAGCACATTCCATTTATATTACATTTCCATGCTTTCCAGCCTTTTGCTAATTTTTCGTTTCTTTTCAACTCTTTCTTACAATTTTCATATAATTATCGGTCCTTACTACAAAACATAATTTAGAGTTGAAAATATGTAGTTTGATATTTTTTAACTATTTACTGAGATCTCCGTATATTTTAAGTAACTAAAACAGCTCCTCTGGTCTACTGCAATCTTACCTTTGGTTCATGTTAGAGCCCCTGTCCTTATCAACCACACTCAAAAGATTTGTCAACTTTCTACTTCCCCCAGCGCCCAACCACCTCTCTCAATTAACACTGTGTTTTGTGCGTTTATTCTCAATATTTTTGACTTGTGCTCACTGAAGTCAGATCTGTCTTGAAATTGAATCTTTTTTTTTTTTATAGTTTTTTTTTTTTTTTTTTTTTATTTATTTATTTATTTTTTTTTTGTTTGTTTCTGGCATTGGGATGCTCACATAGAGTTAAGGAGAAGCAACGAAAAATATAAAACCATCTACCAGACAATCTGGTTATGAGGGCTTAAAAGGGAATAGTCTCTGGAAAAAACTTCTCAATTAATAATCTTTGTTTTATTTGTTTGTGTGTATTGAAGTTGGATTTCTTAGGGGAATATTTGCATACATCAGAGACTCTTGTTAACATATGGTTGCCATGGAAACGAGGGCCATCTTGAAAAAAAACAACTTTCGTAGAGGTCTAAAGTTTAAAAAACTAACATAAATATTATTATATATACAATGATCCTTCTTTTACAAACTCTAATAGAGTCAGCCGGCTAGTTTTTGTAACAGAAAACACCCTTTAAAAAATTCAAATTTTCCTATTTTTAACACGTTTTTCTTAACTCAGCTTCGCGTTTGTTTGTGGGTTTGTTGTTAAAATTGACAACGAAAATTAGCACCCTTCTGATTGCTCTAGAGATCTGAAATTCGTTATGCAGGCTATTTTCGTATAACAATTTCAGATGCAATCATAAAAACTAGCAATTAGAGACCTAAATTAGCTTAATTAAATTACGCCCCTAGGACCCTAAAATTGAGGACATGATTTCTCAAAAACGCATGTAAATTTATAAAGTACTAATAATATCCCGCACTTTTATACACATTTTTTAGGCGTTCACTTGGTGTGGGACGGAGTGGTCTAGCGGTAGAGAGCTGGACTGCTAACCCGTTAGTCTTGAGTTCGTATCCGAGTTCAAGTCAGTAGACCGTCCCTGAGTCCACCCAACTCTGATGGGTAACTAAATCACGTTAAGGAAAGTAAAGGCGGCTGGGTATAGTGCTGACCACACTATCTCTTCATATGCCGAGGTCACAGAAACAAGTGAACTCTACTTCACTTGCCCCATAGACCGCCAGGTTTGAAAGAGAAACTTTTCACTTGGTGTGCAATTTTTTTTTTATTACCACGTTTTTTAAAAATGTTTTACAGTGTAATGCTTAAGGTGGGTGGAGAATCGACAGTTAATTTGTTCGAGGAGGGATGGACGGTGGGCCAACTACCTAAAAGCATTCAAAAACCTTTTGATCCTTTTTATTTTGATAAAAAAATCCTCTAAATTTGTATGTATTTAAAAACACTTAGTCAAGTCATACTTAATCAAGTCATTAGATAAAGTAGAAAATAAACTATATAAAAAACTTTTTAAAAAAACACGTTTTTCATGTGTAGCAACGGACTAAAAAGGAGAAAATAAAATACTTAAAATTTTTTTTTTTTTAAAAACCACGTTTTTCTTGTGGACTAAAAAGTAGAAAATAAATTTTTCTTCCGACCCTAGGGGATCTACCAATGACTGCTCGTAGATTTTGTGCTTCCTCGAGCTGTGCAGGTTCTTGTGATGACTGTTCATACATTTGATGACAAAAAAACGTGGGTCGGGCAGATTTATGATTAAAGCGAAAAGCACACAACACACGAATTTTGGAAATTTGATGGTGAACGTACCCACGTTTTTTTTTAAGTATTTTATTGTATTGTGAAATACCAAAGCTAACAATTACGAAGGAGCAATAAAAAAGATAGGTAGAATACCTTTTAAAGATAGATGCTTAAATCTTTAGCAGACACCCCCCCCCCTCCTCTCCACACATCCACCCCACAATCTTACAAGCCTTAGCCCATCCATTAAAATTTGGACTGTGAAGTTTTACATTCACCAACGCCCTGTGACGAAGGTGTTGACTAGTTTAGTCACTCATTGGCTGGTTATTAATAGATTAACCAATTAAACTGTGTTGACGAAGTACCAAGTTTTTTTGTAATAAGATAAGAAAGTCACGCTTCACCAAGCGTCAAATTTGTTTACTCCGAAATAAGGTCTTCATCAGAGTTAAACTCGGTTCATCTTAGCCCGGATTTAACTGAGGTTGACAGTTCAAATTTTTGGGATGGGTCTAAGTTAGTAGGCCCTATGTCTCGGTTTTTTAGTTTTTGATGCTTTTGTTTTAGACGTTTTTGTTTGCGATGTGTGTTTTTAAAAAACAGTAGTGTTGGAAACTGAATTTTAGTCCTAATTTAATGTTTTAAAAAACCGTTATTGTATACAGCAATGGAAATTGGTGATGAATATATTCAATTTTGACCGAGCTCAGTCAATATTTTAGAAAGAAACGTAAAAATAATTAAAAGGCAATTCTGAGGAGGGCGTGGGGGTGGAGGCTGAGGTGTAACGTTTTGCGACGTTGTATGACGCAGGGGTAAGGGGAGGTAAAAATCGTCAAAAAGCGTGATATCATGTATTGATGTCCCCTATCAAGTCATCTTGTTGTAACATAATGGTCGTTTGGTGATGGTGATGGTAGCTCTACGGTGGTATAGTGGTGATGGTGACGGTGGTTCTACGGTGGTGTGATGGTGATGGTGATGGTAGCTCTACGGTGGTGTGGTGGTGATGGTGACGGTGGTTCTACGGTGACGTGGTGGTGACGGTGGTTCTACGGTGGTGTGATGGTGACGGTGGTTCTACGGTGGTGTGATGGTGATGGTGGTTCTACGGTGGTGTGATGGTGATGGTGATGGTAGCTCTACGGTGGTGTGATGGTGATGGTGACGGTGGTTCTACTGTGGTATAGTGGTGATGGTGACGGTGGTTCTACGGTGGTGTGATGGTGATAGTAGCTCTACGGTGGTGTGATGGTGATGGTGACGGTGGTTCTACTGTGGTGTGATGGTGATGGTGACGGTGGTTCTTCGGTGACGTGGTGGTGACGGTGGTTCTACGGTGGTGTGATGGTGATGGTGACGGTGGTTCTTCGGTGACGTGGTGGTGACGGTGGTTCTACGGTGGTGTGATGGTGATGTTGACGGTGGTTCTACGGTGGTGTGATGGTGATGGTGATGGTAGCTCTACGGTGGTATAGTGGTGATGGTGACGGTGGTTCTACGGTGGTATAGTGGTGATGGTGATGGTGGTTCTACGGTGGTGTGATGGTGATGGTGACGGTGGTTCTTTGGTGACGTGGTCGTGACGGTGATGATTATGTGGTTTTTCAACGGTGGTATGGTGATGATATTGTGGTTCAACTTTGGTGCTATTGTGGTGTTATTTTTGTGCTACCGTTGGGTTGTTCTAGGTTATGGTGGTAATATACAGCGGTGTAACTGTAGTGGTGTGCTCTCCTGTCTGATATAAATATATCAAAATGTATAACTGGCTAAAACTGATACAATAAGTTAATGCCCTGCTGCCCACAACAGAATATAACGCAATGTTCTGCTGACTGTCACCAGTTACAGAATGAATAGTCACGTGATTTCTCCGATAATTCTCTTTCTCTCTCGTCTTCTCAAAAAAATTTTTTTTATTAAAACCCATACTTCTGTTTTCCCATGAGTCATGATAATATTTGATACACCATATCCCATATTTCAGCAGTGTTTCTTCCAGACTTCTTTCTCCGGGGGGGGGGGGGGCGGACTAAAATTTCCGGGGGACGGACTCTGTTAAAGTATATATTTTCTATATAAATTCCATTTCGATGGGGGGTATATTCTATTCGCCTCCCCCCCCCCCCCCCCCCCCGAAAAGATGCCTGGAAGAAACACTGATATTTCAGACCCCATGATATTTCAAACCTTATAATATTTCAGACTCTGTCTTCTTAGAAAGCTTGGCACTAAACCACGCCACAAATAAATTATAACATTTGTTTTGTTTAGCAGAAGTAGAATGTTAGATTATTCCATTTTTTTTTTAAATCCTTTTTTTTTTACACTCATTTCAACTTTCGCCCAAACGATCCATCTTTTTGTTTTTCCCAAATCACAAGTGGATAAAAAGGTAAACGGATGTTTTTGTTATTGGAAATAATTTATGCAAATTTCAGCTGCGGCGTATTTTAACGCCTCGTGCGGGTTGGATTAAAAACATTGACATCACGAACATTGTTCACGAAAGAAAACAATGTGGTTATGCAAACTACAAAGGTGGATCGGGGAGATTTGAAGTCAGATACCTTCAATAGAACAACAGGATACATTAGCGCGATTATGTGGGCGACTTCATAGGTTAATCTTGTGACGTCATAGGGATGGTTTACCTATAAAAGTCGCGCTAAAAATTTCTGAGTGTGTGGAAATATTTTGATTTGTAAGTACAAAATTTTGATCAACATTTTTAGTCATCTGAACAGGTACGTTTAATTTAGTTTATCATTTTAGAGGTTTTTTTTTTTTGTTTTGTTTTTTATTTTCCAGCTACATTCGTGTGTCGTTTTTAGACACTCTTTTTTTTTTTGCTAAAGTAAATATCTGCAGAATTTTAACATAATAAAATCTTTCACAAACGCGTTAAGCTTTAGGAAGTCATGAAAAGAATATTGGTCAAAATTTAATCTGGAACAAAATAATCTTTGCTAGACTTGTTACAGCTTTTAGAAAAAGTTGGTAAGAAAATATGTTAGAGTACAAATATAACCCAATTTGAAAATTTGAAAATTACCTCGACATTAAATGAACATATTCAGCCCTGTTTGTTACCTGACATTGAGTCGACTCAGCTTTAATGGGTACCTTAGCTCCAGCGCTAAGTCGTTTCCTCACATCCTGTCAACTCAGCCCTAATGTGTACCTGACATTGAGTCAACTCAGCCCTAATGTGTACCTGACACTGAGTCAACTCAGCCCTAATGTGTACCTGATATTGAGTCAACTCAGCCCTACTGTGTACCTGACATTGAGTCAACTCAGCCCTAATGTGTACCTGATATTGAGTCAACTCAGCCCTAATATGTACCTGACATTGAGTCAACTCAGCCCTAATGTGTACCTGATATTGAGTCAACTCAGCCCTAATGTGTACCTGATATTGAGTCGACTCAGCCCTAATGTGTACCTGACATTGAGTCGACTCAGCCCTAATGTGTACCTGACCTCATAAACACAATGAAAGTTGCGACTCAAACAAAACAAACAGATAAACTCTACTTCACCTTCACACTAATACTGTCTTATTCAAAAGTACACATCTAATTAGATATTTTTTTCCTACTGTAGGTGTTTATTGTTTAATATCAATAGTAGCAAGTTTAGAAACCCAAAATGGAAGGCTTAAGTTACGTGCTCTTTTGCGTCACAATCATCTCCTTGGCAACCATAAACGGTGCAGTAGCAACACCACGAGGTAGGGGAGGTAATGTAACCATTATTTTTTAGAAGATAACTATTTACAAATTTAAAAAATACAAATTAAATATCATAGCTGTTACGAATAGTTTACTTTCCTAAAACACTAAGTATGCCGTTGTAAAAACCACAGATGTTATTTTAGCCTGAAAACTGAGAAAATGAATTTTGTCTTCCTTTTAAAAATAAATAAAATAAGTGTCTAAAGACATCGTGGACCTGTTTCATATATGTTTTTTGAAGTGTATTCCAAGTCAAGTAAGTATGACCTTAGTAGATCGTGGGGTAGGGGGTGGGAACAGTAATGTAAAGTACCTTATCAATTATATTATAAAAATAAAATATGTCTACCATTTTTAGGGAACAGCTATGAGAGAGATGACAGAGGGAGTCGAACTAGTGGTAACATTTTAAATTTTTTGACATTTGGCTTCCTTACGTGTCATCGTGATGTCAAACTTTGTTAATGATGACACCACTTTGACATTGTATTAACTAATTTAGAGGAAATAAGTTTTTTTACCGGCTTGTTTATTAAACTTTAAACCTAGATTTAGCACGTCCATGTTTTTTTAAGTTTTTGTTCGTTGTCATCATTCTCTCAGATATTTGAGAATCAGGCTAGCAAGATTAGTTCTCACAAGACTTTGTGTTATGGTCGCGGCTAACTTTAACTATCTGTTTACCCTAGGTTACCCCGGTAAATAACCTTGTCTATCTATTGACCCCAGTTACCCCGGCAACTAACCCTGTCTATCTTTTTATTACCCTAGGTTACCCCGGTAACTAACCCTGTGTGTCTATTACCCCAGGTTACCCCGGTAACTAACCCTGTGTGTCTATTACCCCAGGTTACCCCGGTAACTAACCCTGTGTGTCTATTTACCCTTGGTTACCACGGTAACTAACCCTGTGTGTATATTTACCCCATGTTACCCCGGTAACTAACCCTGTCTATTACCCCAGGTTACCCCGGTACTAACCCTGTCTGTTTACCCCAGGTTACCCCGGTAACATCCTGAGTTACCTCCAGTCATTGTCTGTCTATTGACACTAGGTTACCCCGGTAACTAACCCTGTCTGTCTGTTTACCCCAGGTTACCCCGGTACTAACCCTGTCTGTCTGTTTACCCCAGGTTACCCCGGTACTAACCCTGTCTGTCTGTTTACCCCAGGTTACCCCGGTACTAACCCTGTCTGTCTGTTTACCCCAGGTTACCCCGGTAACATCCTGAGTTACCTCCAGTCATTGTCTGTCTATTGACACTAGGTTACCCCGGTACTAACCCTGTCTGTTTACCCCAGGTTACCCCGGCAACATCCTGAGTTACCTCCAGTCCCTAGACCAGAGGCTGAGACGTGTGGAGAGGGAAGGCTGTCTCTCGGGGTATCTTTACCAGACTGTCTGCAGCGACAACAACGGTGAGCGCTGATTGGTTGGTTTTATTTGGTGGATGCTGTGATTGGTTGGTTTTATTTGGTGGATGCTGCTGATTGGTTGGTCTTGTGTGATGGTCGGTTTTGATTGGTTGATTTTGTTTAATGGTCTTTTTTCATTGGTGGGTTTTATTTAGTGGTCTTTGTTCATTGGTTGGTTTTATTTGTTGTTTTTTTTTTTATTGGTTGCCATCTGAAAAGGCTACATATTCGAAAAATTCAGCATCGAAATACTTTTAACAAGCTGTTTTGTTAAAATTAAAATTACTATCAATATATTTTAATATTCAACTGAAGACTGAATATAACCTTTGACCCCACCACCAGGTACCTCCGTGGCCTTGACCGACTGCACAGAGTCCCAGCTGCTGAACAACAATGTCACGGTCATCAACCTTCCCGTCCTGTTCACCTCCCCCTTCCTCGCCCCGCCCGCGGTGGTTGCAGGGTTGACCGGGTTGTCGTTCTTTGCCGGAAGTGACTGGCAGGTCCAGTCCACCAACGTCACCACTTCCGGTTTCAACGTTCGAGTGACGCTGAAGGGAATCCTGCCCTTTGAGCTGAAGATCTTCTGGATGGCCTGCACTAAAGCACGGGCTCTCTTTGGATAAACGTACCATGACAGTGAGAGGAGGGATGAATCGGCGATTCACAGACAAAAAAAAATATAATTTTATACAAGTGTGATTGTTGATAATGGAAGAGTGTTCATAGATGATAAGCTGTCAATAGGGAATCTTTACATATGCTCGCAGTCCTATTCCGTCAAGTCTATCGTTTCCTATCAGTTCTATCTCATCACATCAACACTGCCCATTTTATCGATTCTATCCTATTGTATCTGCTCTGCCACGTTCTGTAAATTATATCCCATTTTATAAATCATATACTAATTTATCCATTTTATGCATTGTCCCATCACGCGGATGATGTTTGATTGTAATCTAAGCATGCGCATATAATGTCAAGCTCTCGCTTACTTTAACAAATACTAAAACTGATGTAAATTTTGTTTACCGTCTATAACATCAAACCCACATCGTGTAACAATTATCAAACATCAAGATGTATTACCAGTCAAAAGTTTTATAATTTTGTAATAAAAATGCTATAAAATATCAAATATCGTTTTTTTTATGTGTTGAATTTCAAACTGTCTTGTTTGTTGTTTGTGGTTTGCAATACTTGTCGTAGGTAGTCCAAACTGAAATTAACTATTGATTGCAGAATTCTGGAGTGAGTATGTCATGAAAGAACTTTTAATTGTAAGGTCTATGCCACAAATTTTATAAAAATATCTCAATAAATAAAAAAGTTATGCGATTTTTAAAAAAGCAAAATTTGGTAAAAAACTGATTTTCAAAAAGTGCCATTTTTGAGAACCCATATTTTTTAAACTAAATAACATAGAAGTGTAGAAATTGGTAAAGTTGCTGCAAAGTTTGTAATATATATGCCCAATTTTTTCAGTCATCTAAAATGAGTCTTTCTAAGGTAAAAAAATAATTGAAAATGACAAAAATGCGTTTTGGTCACTTTTATTTTCATTAAAAATAAAAAAAAATTCAATTTTTTTTTTTTTTTTTTTTTGCTTTGGAATAACTCTAAAACTATTGTGTTGGTAACATCAACGTGGAAAAATGTGTTAATTATTTTCAAAAATCACATGAGTTAAAATATTATTTTAAAAAATACCACAGTTATCTAGTGCAGGAGAAACAGAATCAAAATTTAGTAGAGTAAATGTAATGTAATGTAGTTTAATAAAGACGTGATGCCTACAAGTGATGCAGCAGTTGATGCCACATGCTTTGGTTTCTTTTCAAACTTATACGGTTGATAACTGCTTTGGGGGAACAGTTTTTAAAACTACAACTCCACATCTTTGTACGTCTTGTTTCCCTCAACCTTGATCTTGTGGAGCATCAAGAGTAAGTAATATGTTTTGGGAATTGTAGGGGGGAGTGGGGTCTTGGCCTTCTTCCCTTCCCTTGTAAGGAAAGTTCTGGATAGGCCACTGTAAATGTCTCCAGCTATGGAATAAACAATTGATTTAGTGATTAATAAAATAGAATTAAATTTACTACCAGCCTATTGTGTAGGCCTACTATTTGTCCTATGACTATAACTGGAAACATATGAAAAAGCCTGAAAACACCTTTTTGTTAAAAGTAATTTATACTTTATATATATTTTTAAGAGTAATTCTACTGAATGAAATTTGAAATATTCGTTGCTTGTGCCACACTGGTTGAGATATCCAATAATGAAGATGCCATACTGTGGTTCTCAACATCCTATAGGACAACTTAACTGTCCTTCATTGTTACTATTATATGCATATAAAATAAATAAATAATGAGAAATACTACTAGTACTACTTACACTTACAACTAATATAACATTTAAAACTAAGTCACAACATGTAGAATCTTAATAAATTGCACCACCATCTAAAAATTGATCTGGTACATTTTATTACGGAGACTGGCGCAGACCATTTCACATTATTTAGCAGGGGAATCAGAATCAGAGCACACAACAGAAAATAAAAAAAATTAATCACAGTAGTCCTTAAAATTTAGTGTCTTTTGTTTTAAATAAATCGATAAAAATGTATAGTTATTATAATTATACATTTCTTTTGTGTTTCATTAATATTTTATAAGTATTTAACCTTCGTTCCCTGTAAATAATTGAGTTCGTCCACATAGTAACCAGGATAGTCTGGTGGCCATTTTGAATTTGTCGATTCATAGTTTTGACGTGATAGTCCAGATAAACTGTAGTAATACGACCCTATCATTGATCCCAGTCAATAGATTTTGAAGAATTAGTAAACACTAGCATCTAATAGTTAAGTGCATCCATATTTTAAGTCCCTAGAATGTCCTGAATTAAATAGCTTCACGTCTAAACACACCCTGTGTACAAGCGTAGTTCACACGCTAAAACCGTGGACTTGAAGCGTTCAAATTTACATTAATAACGTGTACTAATTAAACCAAACTGACATTCAAACTTAAAATTCATTTATTAAAATGGAAATGAAACTTTAAAAATGATACTTACAACTTGTTTGAAGGCTCTAGCAAGGGTAAAATCCGTTTAGCATCATCGGTCGTCAACCTTTAAAACCGTTCGGCGAGCAACTTACTCGGGGCTGAAAGTCGACTCGAGGGTTATATGTTTATTGGGGGTACGGCTTCGCGACCATAAATCAGAAATACTTGAATTTACAACACAAAGTAGTTATAAAACTGAACTTTACATCGGTGTAAAAATTGAAACAGAATTAGTTTGTTTCCGTATATATATCGTCATTTAAAGTTTAAAATCTGTATTTTTTAAATGAAATAAACAAGTTATTTTTTCAATTTATACATCAAACGATAGCCTAGAATTCGATCTTTAAAATGACATTAAGATTATGCTTCTACGATGCTTCGTCGCGAAGCCGCGACCAAATAAAACAGTGTGGGGTCGATCGGTACACGCAAAACGGTGAAATTTGTTGACGTAACTGATACTTTTCAAACAAATATAAAACACATTCAGACATGTGTTACAGATATAAAAATACCAGATTACGACAGATAAAGACAAACTTTATTGACATATAATTTTTATTCTTATAGGACAACTAGAAGTAGTGAAATTTTTTTTTTGAAAACCGCAAAAACTGACCCTAAAACGCACTTTTTCGCCAGTTTGGACTACCTACTTGTCGCGTTAGATCGCACGATTTGTCTCCCTGTTTGTCCCTGTATAGCGCAGACAAACAAGTCTGTGGCCAAAGGGAAGCAACCAAAACTATATTTTCAACAGGAATAGGCTCCCTTATCTAAATCACGATTTCCAATATAAAGTCCCTTTGGAATATAGCTGAGACTGCAAGACTTGTAAGTTCGTCTATGATGTTTCATCGTGGCGGAATAGGTTGGATGTTATATTTAAATCAACAAATATATTTGAATACGGCCAAGCCAGTGATACATCACAACACAAAAGTTAAAGGAGCCCGATCTAGCGGTTCAAACCTATCTTTATATTCGAAGGTAGATAACTCAATTAACGGACACATATCAGGTAAATACCGGTCGCTCCCCTTTTTTATATATCCCGCTGTACATTTTTTTTTCTTTTTTTGGTTTAGGGCAATTAATAACTATCAGTCTAATTAATTAGTTTGTAGAGTAAGATTATGATATTTGCAATAGACAGCCTTACGGTTTTCGTGGCTAAATCAATAAGCAAATCAAAAACATAGATACTTCATTCTGAATGCCAGATTTACGATTAAGGTGTGCGATGTTGTGTGGTTCAGGTTGCTGGGTGACGTATGGGGCGTGTGGTGACTAGTGGACCGGGGTTTACTTCGGGGTGTCGTTAAAGGTGTCAATCAGAACTTTTTGTAAAGCAAACAGAGTCGATTACAAATTCGTTTGATTGGTTTAAATATCAAACTCTATTATGCAAAATAAAAAAAAAAATTTAAAATGTTTGACAAAAAAAAAAAATTCGATTATAATTTGGTTTTTTTTTTTTTTTGTAGTAAATAGTTGACAATAAAATCATTACAATGTTTATACTGTTTTTCCCCATCAAAAGTTACCTTAGTAACTGATCTAAAAATAAAATAAAAATCTAATAAATCTTTTTTTTTTTTTCGGTCTTGCAACAGGGTTTGCAGCTAGTATTACTAGTAAAGTACAAGGATTCTAAGATATTTGATGTATGCACACTTTTAAGGGAAATAAAGAGGTTCTCAAATATATGAAGTGTGAACACTTTTAAGAGAAATTAAGAGGTTCTCAAACTATTGTGTGCACACTTTTAAGGGAAATAAAGAGGTTCTCAGATATATGAAGTGTGCACACTTTTAAGAGAAATAAAGAGGTTCTCAGACATTTATTGTATGCACACTTTTAAAAAAAAAATTAAATTTAGAGGTCCTAAAACATGTGATGTGAAATAACAAGAAGAAAAATCATTGCTATTTATTTAGGTTCAAATTTATGAATATGTAGGCACATATTTTTTCATGTACACCTTTTAAACACAATTCTATAAATGTTTTGGTCACAAACTCAAACATATGTTAGCTAGTATGTTGAATCATGTGGTTTTTCTACATTGTCAACCCACACCATGTCTTTTCTTGATATTGGATTGTTTTTAGATTGTCTGAAACATTTTTAAGCAAGGTGGTATTTCAACAAAATGGTACAAACATCTTTTAATACAATGTTACAAACACAGAGTCAGAAACATCTTAAAAAATAATGTTACAAATTCATATATTAGGTATTAAGACAGTTAAGTACATTTATTGCATCTAAATTTATGTATCATTGATTATTGTCTATAATGTCAAAATAAATTTAAAAATAAATATTATTAACAGCAGTAGTTAACCGCTATTTTTACAATAATTAACAATTAAATTGGTAAGCATTTATTTCAGAGTTTCTTCAAGGAGTCGCCCCCCCCCCCCCCCTCCCCGAAGAAAGTCTACCGCCTCCCCCCTCCCCTAAATGAAATGGAATTTATATAGAAAACATATTCTTTTACTAGTGTCGTCATCGTCCTGTCCCGTCCCCCCCAAATAAAAATACCAAGTCAAAGGTCAAATAGAGACAAGGTCAATTAGGGGTGGGCGACAAGGTCAAATAGGGGTGGATGACAAGGTCAAATAAGGGTGGATGACAAGGTCAAATAAAGAGACAAGATAAAAAAATAGGGGAACAAAATTTTATAGAAGCTCTGAGTTAAACATACAGGTAAACTTGGGTATGCACTTTGGTATACACACAGGTTCTAATTCAAGAAGATTTACATATTTGGATGTACATTCAAGCACACATAAGTACATACCGACATCCACATTTGGCAATAAAATCAGGGGTAGTCACAATTTAATTTAATTTGGTACATTAAATTTTAACAAATGCTAAAAAAAACTTAAAATACATTAAAAACCCCACGGCAATAGGTGTGATAGTATGTTCAAAGAAAAAATTAAAAACACAACTTGTGTTTACATAACAGCTTCTGTGTTTGTTTGAAATTAAATGGAAAACAATAACATAGTCAGTATTTTATATTGATAACATAGTCAGTATTTTATATTTATAACACAGTCAGTGTTTTATGGCACATTCAGTGTATTTATTTTTTATAATTGATTTTTTAAAATTAGGTAGAATAGGTTGTTATTTTTTATGAGACATGAATTTAGTGCACACACAAGAACCTTAACTCTGAGAACAAGAGTGTATTTTAAAAAGTTAAAAATAGCATCAAACACACCAAAGTAGAAATACTGCTACCTGATTTAATTTTATAAGCTACCAATTAAAACATGAGATATGTAATTTATAATAAAATGTACATTTTACATAACAGGTATTCTAGGCATTCAAATCACATCATACAGGTTGTAATACCTCTAAAATAACAAGTTCAAGATTAACAAAGAGAAATCACAAGCTATGGTATAACGTACGCAAATATTAGCTGTGTAAGGGCAACAGATACCTGCTGATTTAAGTATTAGCTGTGTAAGGGACACGATGTAGCCAAGTATTAGCTGTGTAAGGGCCGCAGGTACCTGGAGAACTTGATTACACTGAAAAATGGCTCCCCTAATGAGATCATGTGGTGAAAAAATTCTTTGGGTTTGACAGTCTGAAGTCTCTTAAGGTTGAGGAGGTCTTCACCCTTCATGGAGCTGAAACTGGGGGAAGAAATTTTTTAACTGTTAGAGACTGTGTCTGAAACACACTATACAGTACAGCATTTGACAACAGCATGGGTTACAGTGGCATAGGAGTCATCCATTTATGATTTCCACAAAAAATAAAAACTTTTAATTGTTAATGGAAATGTATATTATTATTATAAGGGTAACTAGAATATGTTGAGTAAAATAAACAAGTAGTTTTAAAAGTAAATATATATCACAAGGGCTTAATTTGATTTTATGATTATATTTCCTCATCAACCAATATCTGACACACTGTATTAAATATTCATTCTTTGGTGTGGAAAGAAAAGTTTTAAGACTATGATCTTCTTTGGTGATAAACAGCATCATCAAGATAAAAAAATGCTCCCCTTATGTTTGACCCCTAATTTTTTTTTCCTTCCACACTCAACATAGGATATAAATTTTCTCTAGACACAACAACATACATTGATTTAATTAACTTTGATCTGAGTATTTTTTTAAATTAAAGGAATTGCTGTTTTAATTTATACTTTGTGTGTGCAGGTTAAAAGTTTTTATTTTGATCCAATTAAAGGACATCCACATGGAATCAAACTTACGCACATATGCAGACACACCCACCCTCAGCCCACACACATTAACCCTTTATTTACGGAATTAGGTTCTGAATGAAATTTTTTCTTAAACTATGTGTTAAAATATTGCTTTTGGCACATTTAAAGCATATGTCGAAGGAAATTTCGTTTCATAAATTATTAATGGCCCAAACAGATATTGGTACTTATAAGTACCGTCAGGAATGTTGGACATTTTTTCCAAAAAAAATTTTTTTACAAAACAGGAACAAATGACACAATTTATTAACTAATAACATGGCAATCATTATAGCAGTCATTTTTTGTAATTTTCACACATAATACGTCACAATTGTATATTTTGAGTACGATTTTTATTGGCTTTTCTATCGGAACACATCTTAGACCTCAAACACAGCTAAAGTTGCCGACATGTCATGCTCCCTAATTCTTGTCTGTGGTCATTCTGGGGTAGCAACGGTTGCCGGACTGAACATGCTTTTGCTGGAAGCTTCCAATAGCTATTACTTACAATGAACCGCATAAACAAACAAAAGCCTAGTCATTCAGTACACAACTACTAGTAATACTAGTATAATTGTAGCCTACTAGAATGTTATGACAAGTCTACACTACAGTGTAAAGTTCATAAATAGAAGTGAGCCCAATGTGTTTAGGATAGCCGAATTGGCCTACTCTTTCCTGTTTACGGATTAAAAGTTACCATATAGATCTATACTATATGCAGAAGTATGGACTATTACTAGTCTACAGGTATACATTACGTAAATACTAGTTATTGTAGGCAAGACAGTTTATTGCAGTAAATATAACTAACAAATTAAATCTTACTACTAAAACTAGGCTTTGGTATACAAATGAAGTATAGTAAACCTTATAAACGGGTCTGCAACTGCTACCTTAATTCTTGTTATTCTTTTACTACTAGAAATGAACATGTAATTACAATAATTCTTTGGTAAACCATATGCTAACCTTCTTATAAATGTGTAAATATTTTTTGAGTACATTTTAATAATTAATTATCAAAATAATATTTATGTCACTCCACATAAAAAATCTGCCATTTCCTAAAAATTCTTTAAAAAAAATGACTGTGTGCCCTGATGGTACTTATAAGTCCACTTGTAAACATCGATCTAATACATAGACAATTTTATTAAAATTGTATATCTAAAAGTTAACTGACTATTGGAGATGCCAATAAAAAATATTTGGGGATGAAAACTTCAAGAATAAGGTAAAACTTTAAACAAAGGGAAATCAGGAACGTGTGTGAGAACGTTACAGAACAATTGTGAACTACCGATACAGCAAGACATTGAAATTGGCGCCACACCAAAAATTTTCAAAAAACATCGATCCATCCAACTACCGGCGACTCAGGACAGATAATACTATTAATTACATCAATAATTTTTTAAATTCGTATTAAATTAAAAATAATACAGGCACTTAATTAAAGTGGTACTTATAAGTACCATCAGTAGATAAAGGGTTAAAGATTGACTTATATTCAGCACTTTCACCTCCAGTTGAACATAATAAACAGATGACCCCACATACAAAAAGATCATTGGTGACAAGAGCACATGTGAGAGAAATATGAGAAAATCAAACTTTGTCAACTTACTGCGGCACAAACTGCTGTAGACCATGATGGGTCAGCCACTGAGCTACATCGTCCACACTCCAGTCTGATGGGTGTTTGGTTTGAAAACCTGAGGGAATCAAATTGAGTGTCAATAATGTACTGGTCTTCTTAGAGAATCAGACAAGATGAGTGTCAATAATGTACTGATCTACTTAGGGAATCAACAAACAAATTGTAAATAATGTACTGATCTACTTAGGGAATCAACAAGCAAATTGTAAATACCACTGATCTACTTAGGGTATCAACAAGCAAATTGATTGTAAATAATGTACTGATCTACTTAGGGAATCAACAAGCAAATTGATTGTAAATAATGTACTGATCTACTTAGGGAATCAACAAGCAAATTGTAAATAATGTACTGATCTACTTAGGGTATCAACAAGCAAATTGTCAATAATGTACTGATCTACTTAGAGAATCAACAAGTAAACTGTAAATAATGTACTGATCTACTTAGGGAATCAACAAGCAAATTGTAAATAATGTACTGATCTACTTAGAGAATCAGACAAGATGAGTGTCAATAATGTTCTGATCTACTTAGAGAATCAATAAGCAAATTGTCAATAGAGAATCAGACAAGTAAAGTGTCAATTAAGTACTGATTTACTTACTGTCAAACTTGTACAGAAGAAATATTTCCTTTGTGCTGTTAACATTACACATTTGAGACACAGATGAAAGACTGGAAGATAGTTCTTTTGTGACAATTTGTGACATCATGCACAATGAGTCACCAACTCACACAGAGTGTTTAGAACTAGCTAGATGTTCTTTAAACCACAATGTTACTTACCTGGTGGAGGCATGCTGCAACACGCTTCATCTCTCTCATCTGTCGTCCTCACAGTATTGTCTTCCTCACATAATGAAGATGATTCTTTTTTCAGCAATGTTGCATCTTGCTGAGGATGACTAATTACAACATGTTCCCTCTGCTGAGGTGATGTCTTCTTATTGGGAGTTAACAATTTACCAGTATTTATACCTTCCTGTATAGATTTTCTTTCTGCTTGAGTTTCCTCCACTTTGGTAAAATACTTCTTTTTATTTGATTTCACAACAGGCGTGTTGGTGGGACATTTCTCTTTGTTTGGTTTCAAAGGTGAGCGGTTGGCTGAATGTTTCCTCCCATTTGATTTCCCATGTGAGCTGTTGTTTGAATGTGTTTTGTCATTTGATTTCTCCGGGCAGCTGTTGGTTGAATGTTTCCTCCTATTTGATTTCACATGTGAGCTGTTTGAATGTGTCTTGTCATTTGATTTCCCAGGTGAGCTGTTGTTTGAATGTGTCTTTTCATTTGATTTTCCATGTGAGCTGTTGGTTGAATGTGTCCTTTCATTTGATATCACCTGGTGTATGCTAGTGGAACATTTCCCCTCATTTGATTTCACAATAGCCACAGAACTATCATCCTGTGTTGTTACAGACTTGTGTAGCGTTTTAATCATTTTTTTAATCACAAGGTTTTCCCCTTTCTGTGACAGGATGTAGCTGCCAACAGGCAGGGGAGGACCCACCTTGCAGGCCACACCAGAAATGTCTGCCATGCTTGAACTCACTGGCTGGCACTCAGGTGCTGACGCCTCAGTGGGGTGAAGGTTGTGCTGCAGAGAATCACTAGCAGGAATGTGACTGGCGCCATCTTTAGGCAAGAATTGGCTGTGTTTCAAGACAGAGATGTTTCGAAGGCTCGACCTGCTAGCTGCTGTACCTGATGGCATCTGTTTTGGTGCTGACATGTACCTGCCAACATCCCCAGCTGGAGGGTCCCCGTGGCTTGACTCTGGGATGTTAAGTGAAGCACCAACATCACCAGCTGGAGGGTCCCCGTGGCTGGACTCTGGGATGTTGAGTGAAGCCCCAATATCCCCAGCTGGAGGGTTCCTGTGGCTGGACTCTGGGATGTTAAGTGAAGCCCCAACATCCCCAGCTGGAGGGTCCCCATGGCTGGACTCTGGGATGTTGAGTGAAGCACCAACATCCCCAGCTGGAGAGTCCCTGTGGCTGGACTCTGGGATGTTGAGTGAAGCCCCAACAGAACCTGATGGTTTACAGTTTCTTATGTTAATGTTGCCTGGTTCTAAAGTTGAACTGGCTGCTGTCTGTTCTCCCAACAGTGCCACTACAGCAGGAACTTGCTCATTAATCCCAGAACCTTTGGCTGAACTTATCACATTATCATCACCAGTCAGGATATTCAGGCTATTGATAGTTAAGTTTTTGGGTTCCACAGATCCAGCATGAGAGCCATTGGAAACTGGTGAAATTTTTGGAGATTTTATCATTTTTAATTTTCTGGGCCTGCGTTTGTTTAAAGTCGGCTGCACTTGTGGGTTGCCAGATAAAAAGAATACATTTGGCTGTCTGGTCTGCTGGGTACTCACCTCAAACATTGAGCTAGGGCCTCCAGCAGGGCCTTGAAGTGAGTAATCCACAGGTCCACCACTATCAGAGCTGCTATTTACAAGAACCTGTGTCTGATGCTGCATCAAGGGTTGACCATCCACAGGTCCACCACTATCAGAGCTGCTATTTACAAGAACCTGTGTCTGATGCTGCATCAAGGGCTGACCATCCACAGGTCCACCACTATCAGAGCTGCTATTTACAAGAACCTGTGTCTGATGCTGCATCAAGGGTTGACCATCCACAGGTCCACCACTATCAGAGCTGCTATTTACAAGCACCTGTGTCTGATGCTGCATCAAGGGTTGGCCATCCAGAGAGTTCAGGATAATGTAAACATGTGAGTCAGCGTTGTTCTCATTCACAATGATATCTGTTCTGTGTGTGGGTGCACTGCCTGAGCTCGGAACACTTTGATTCAACAAGTTAAACAAGAAATTCCCATTGTCTGGACATAGCAGACTTATGACGGGGGTATTGTTTCTTATTTCTACATTTTGAAAGTATCCACCAGCATCTGTGTATTGAGTATCCATGTGTTGTAAATTAGCAACAGAGACATCAATGCCAGCATTAAATATAGCGGAGCCGGTTGTTGATGGCCCTGACAAAAAGGCCACATCAGAACTTGTTACTACTGGCCCTGGCAAAAAGGCCACCTCAGAACTTGTTACTACTGGCCCTGGCAAAAAGGCCATCTCAGAACTTGTTACTACTGGCCCTGAGAAAATGGCCAAATCAGAACTTGTTGCTGCTGTTGAGAGAAAGGCCACTTGTGAATAGTTCAAGCAACCCCCTTGAGGCAGAAAGACAATATCTGCCTGACCAACATTACTGAATGCCCCACTGGTAGACAGACCAAAACCCTGACCATCAGGGGCTTTGCTGGCTGAGGGGGCAACATCCCGAGGGGGTGGTGGGCTACGTGAGATGTCGTAAGAACAATCCTCATCAGATGAAAGACTAATGTACGGGTTATGATCACCACGGGGTAGGCTTTCCTCTGGGAAACCTGTAAGCAGACTGTCACTGGAACCATTTTTCACAAAGTTTTCATCCTTGTCTGTAATCACACTACTGTCTGTCTCAACCAGTCTTGCAGACCCATTCCTAAAAGATGGCGCCAAATCTGTCATACAGGACTGCCCATCTGAGCCGCCAGAATCATGCTGTAACTCCAAGTCATGAGCACTGGTTGTTTCTGCAGTTAAATCTATTACCTGAGTACCCAATGAGGTAGATAGTTTATCACCAGCAGCTGTGCCACAAGAACAACTGCTATAAGGCTTACAGGCACAGTCCCTTTCTGCTGGAGCTTCAACACTAGAGCCAAAACAGGGAGCCTCTTCATTATCACATTTGTCTTTACTCCCGTTCTTCTGAAGTCTACACCGTATTAACTGCTTAATGTTTTCACTGACAGTTGTAACACACTTCTGATCTGGTACAGGTTTAGCACCACTGGGATCTGGGATAGATGTAGCACAATTCTGATCTGGGATAGATGTAGAACAATTCTGTTCTGGGATAGATGTAGCACAATTCTGATCTGGGATAGATGTAGCACAATTCTGATCTGGGATAGATGTAGCACAATTCTGATCTGGGATAGATGTAGCAAAATTCTGATCTGGGATAGATGTAGCACAATTCTGATCTGGGATAGATGTAGCACAATTCTGATCTGGGATAGATGTAGCACAATTCTGATCTGGGATAGATGTAGTACAATTCTGATCTGGGATAGATGTAGCACAATTCTGATCTGGGATAGATGTAGCACAATTCTGATCAGGGATAGATGTAGCACAATTCTGATCTGGGATAGATGTAGTACAGCTCTCATCTGGGATAGAAGTAGCACAACTCTCATCTGGGATAGAAGTAGCACAATTCTGATCCGGGATAGAAATAGCACCACTCTGATCAAGTGCATGTGATAATCTACTCTGTAACACAGAAGAGACAAAGTCTTTGTTGGATGCCTCACTGTACAAGAAAACAACATCTGTGTCAGATGTCTGACCACCTTCTTTGCTGAATGTCTGCCCAACATCTTTGTCAGATGTACGACTGTCATCTCTATCTGACGTATGACCAAACTCTCTATCTGTTGTATGGCCATCATCTTGGCTTGACGTATGACCAACATCCTCAGCCTCCCCTACATCAACTTGCTGCTGTAAACTACTTCGCCTTCTTGAGGTTGCTACTTCCTTTGGTGCTGCTGACACTGTAACCTCCACCTCTGCCTGTTTACTCAAGGCATTTTTCCCCAGGCTGAGCAAGGCACTGACTGCATCAGATTCCAGAGCAGCAGATCTGTCCTTAGATTTAGCTGTACTGAATCTTTGTTTTCTAATTAAATCTTTCACCACACTGGTCTCTTCATCAGTCAAACACAGAGAACTCCTGGAACGCCGCTTCCTCCTCTGTGGTTTGTTTGGAGACTTGGAAGTCTGATTCTTTGAGCAATGTTTATCACTTTCTATACTGTCTGTACTGGTTCTTGATGATGTCACAGCAGATAAAAGAAGACCAAACTTAACATTGGCCAGGTTGGCCGCCAGCTGGTCTATAGATTTCAAATTTCTTTTGGAGCTCTTGGAGTCTATGTTTTCCCTAGAATTTGAAGCTTTCTTGGCTGTGTAATGGTACCTACGCTTTCTGGAAGCTTGTTTGTGGTTATGAGAGGACTTGTTGGGGACAGGTGAATCCACACAACTCAAAGCTAAAAAGGAAAAAAGTTGAAAATCACTATACATATTCCAGGTTTACTTACAAAAAAATTGCTAAAAAACAAATAAGCCGTGTAAAAAGAACATCAAATATGTAAACATATAAGCCTAATAACCTAAACTTTGATCTCAACTTTAAAAAAAAATACAGAAAGTTTTTTTAGTTATATTAGAGGAATATGATTTATGTAAGTACATTTAAAAAAGTAAAGCTTAAATATGTAGGCTGTAATATTTTATAGGTTACATGTGTATAGACATGCATAGGCATGAATTTCATGGTGGATCATATTACAATTTTTCAAAAGATTCCGTAATTAAGAATTAATTAGCAACATATGCTTCTACTTTTTTATTTATTATAGTGTTCATTTTATAAATCATAGTACAATACTTTATTTTATTTTATAAATACAAACAGGAATTTTTTTTAAGAGTTGTCAATTTGTTTTAACTAAACAGAACACAACCTATTTAAATATTCTGTATGTTAATGATTCTGTAAACTGAGATTAAGGGAAAGGGTTTTTAAATACGGTAAAAATCAACCAAATACAACACTCTAAGTTATTAGGGAATAAATTAAATATAGCATTGTTTTTCAAACTAACTAAAACAATATTTTAAGAAATATGAAAGAAATCAGTTAATATAGTGATATATCTATTTAGGATATACCAGTGCTTAATTTAAAAAATATCTGTTTGACAAAAGTGTATTCACACAGGAGACAAAAATAAAATATTATTATTGTATTTTTTTTTCACTGAAACACTAAATAGAATTCACACAGGAAAGAAATATTTTCAAAAAATAAATTATATTAATTTTAAGAGTTGGGTTAAACTAGTATAAAGGCTAAAACTAATAACTAATATTAATTCTAGAAAATTTTAAAGGCTATTTAGATAACTGCGTTTAAAACTTACATGTGGTTTTATTTATGTTCTGTTCCTTTGTATTAATTGCTGCCTTGTTGATCTCATCTATTCTTCTGATTATTTTTACTTTGGGTGAAATCTCATAATCTGCTTTGATCACAGTAGACTTCACAGGAGACTTTTTATAATTATTAGCCACATATTCCTTACTTGTGTTGGCGTCTTTTTGCCTGTGTGCAAGTGATGAGTATGGGCCAGCAGAGGTTTTGGGATTTACTGTGGTATACCTCACATCTAAAACTGGTGAACAAGGTGCAGGGGTTGCATGTAAAGCTGGCACACTTTCTTCTAGGCTCTGTTTGTCTTGTCTTGTCAGATTTTTAGCTGGAGAAACAACAGTTTGTGGCTGTTTGTCTGGTCTTGTGGTGTTTTTAGCTGGAGAAACAACAGTTTGTGGCTGTTTGTCTTGTCTTGTGGTGTTTTTAGCTGGAGAAACAACAGTTTGTGGCTGATTGTCTTGTCTTGTGGTGTTTTTAGCTGGAGAAACAACAGTTTGTGGCTGTTTGTCTTGTCTTGTGGTGTTTTTAGCTGGAGAAACAACAAATTGTGGCTGTTTGTCTTGTCTTGTGATGTTTTTAGCTGGAGAAACAACAGTTTGTGGCTGTTTGTCTTGTCTTGTGGTGTTTTTAGCTGGAGAAACAACAAATTGTGGCTGTTTGTCTTGTCTTGTGATGTTTTTAGCTGGAGAAACAACAGTTTGTGGCTGTTTGTCTTGTCTTGTCAGATTTTTAGCTGGAGAAACAACAGTTTGTGGCTGTTTGTCTTGTCTTGTGATGTTTTTAGCTGGAGAAACAACTGTTTGTGGCTGTTTGTCTTGTCTTGTGGTGTTTTTAGCTGGAGAAACAACAGTTTGTGGCACATTTTTCACACCATAATTTTCCGTTGAGGCTTCATACTTAACAGAAAAATCCTTGCTTGATACAGCACTTGTTGCTTTTTTATGTTTCGTGTTTTTTGAGATAGCTATGTAACCAGCCACAAGGGTAGTTTGTTGTGTCTCATTTTTCCCAGCTGAATATTCATCAAACGGGGTGACAGTTTTAACCGGAGATCCATTTTCTAGCGGCACAATTGTTTCTTTTCCAGGTTTTCGGACTGTGTTTGCTGTTTTTGCAGTGCTGCCTTTGAGAGGTGAAATAATGTTTTGAAATTTTCCCACATGACTTGCTAGCTGTACAGACGAGTGACCATTGTTCTCAACTCTATCCGTTCTGTTTTTAGCTACACCACTACCATTCCTATGTGATTGTACCCCATTCTCCACAGATTTTGAATTATTACAACCATCATTTTCTACTCTTTTACCGATGCTAAAATTACTACTCACAGCTTCAGTTCCTTTCTTGTTTGTGTGAGCATTCCCCCTATTAGCTGCACCTCTATTGTGTGGTATCAAATTTTGTAAAGTACCCACAGAATTTTCAGCTATTTCTTCATTATAATTGTAATTATCCTTCTTCTTGGTAGCTTCAGGATTAGGGAATGATCCATTGCTCAAATTAGGATTCAAGTATGGTACTATTGTCAGTCCCTCGTCTTTACAAACATGTTTTATAGACACAATCTTAGAAGGCATAGCTCCACATTTTAAGTCAGAGTTTAAAGTCGCTTGGCAGTCAGTTGATAAAGGAGGTAAATTATGTGAATCATGTAAACAAGTATTAGTTCTACTTTTTGTGGATTTTTTCTGCTTGTGTGTATCAGTTGTTAGAGTTGCCTCTGTGCTATTTAGCTTCTGTTTTAAAGTTGTGTGGGACAATTTACAGTCCAGATCTCCCTTAACTTTTTTAGTTTTCTGAGCTTCAGGCGTGGTAGAGGCTTTTCTTTTTTTACTGAAAAAACCTGGGGACAAAAGTAAGATTGATCATGTTAGTGGTGATGGCTTTGTTGGTGTGCATTATTTTTGTGGTAACAATCTATAAGCTATAACAATAACAATATATAACACTCTTCCAAACTCACACAAAACACCTCAAATTAAAACTGGAGAAAAAAAAATTTTAAGTAGGTGACTGCTGGGTAAAGCCATATTTTATTAAAGGTTTTGATATCATTACACAAACCTTAATTTAACCCTCTAATATAGCCTTGATCACCAAACTAATAATTACAGCCCAAATTATTCTTTTAACTTTAATAGTGTGGATTTTTGTGTGTAAAATTAGAACCATGGTGGTCCACCTAAAGAACTGAAACATTGTTTTAAAACTATATTTATTTTAGAGACCTAGAATTATAATTTTTAACTGATGTTTAGCTGCTAGCCAAGCAATGAATCTGTACAAATTTTAGTATTTGAGATATTAACATGAATTATTGGAGTATTTTCATTGAACTCGGAGTAATGGTTTTTCATTTTATTTAAACTGCATTACTTGGCAGTGAAGCTCTTTGTATTAAAGAAACCTTCTAATTGATATCAATTTTTTGCTAATAATTATGCATCACTTTTAAAGATTGCAATACTATCAAATTATTATTACTTTCTTGTAATAATAATTAAAATAAAAGTATAGATAAAGTCTTGTAATCGTGCAAAAAAAAATTTAAAATATCGAGATTTTTGCAAATCTCAACGTTTTAGGGCTCCCTGAGTCGGAAAAACATAATTTTGCAATCTTGTCCATATGTCTGTGTGTATGTGTGTCTGTGTGTGTGTGTAAACACGATAACTTGAGTACCGTTACAACTAGGTTGATGAAATTTCATATATAAGTATTATATCAAAATCGTAGATCCGTATCAACTTTTGAGCGATTTCCAATAACCGGAAGAGGAACTTTATCTACTTTGAATTTTTTAAAAGCCTATAACTTGAGTACTATTTCACATAGATAAATGAAATTTCACATGTATGTAAAAGATCTAAATCTCTACCTTCTGTCAAATTTTGAGTAATTTCCGTTGAACGGAAGTAGTAATTTACGCTATTTCCGATTTCTCAAAAAACTAATGTAAATTTATAAAGTACTAATAATATTACGCACTATTATACACATTTTTTTTGGCGTTCACTTGGTGTGCAATTCTTTTTTCTACGAGATTTTATTCTATTTTAAAAAGTTTGAGTATTTAAAATGGATTAAAAATCATGTCTATATCACGAGTTCCCATCCCCTGTTGTTTTATATAAGAATATTCGAGAAAGTTTAGGGGAGATCACTCCCGGTTTATTTTTAAATTATCATGAATAAGTGCGAAACTGGATAATGTATTGAGAAAAGCCAGACCTATGTTCAATTTATTTTAAGAGTTTTGAATCTTAATAAGTAGGTGTAACTAAACAGAGAAATTATGTAGTAGATCACCTAGCAAGTATATTTTGCCTGGATTTCTACTGAGCTTATTTTACTATTTACTTTAGATTTTAGAATACTACTACTCTAGATTCTAATATAACTCACTAGTGTCTAGTAATATGCCCTGCTAGACCGCAGGTTGACAAACTTTTTCAAGTGGACTTTTACCTCCATACAATTGCAAAAGAATAATTTAGTTTGGTTTAGTCTACAAGTTGATGACCCCTCCCCCCACCCCAGAAAAACTATTTATGACCCCCATGGGGGTTGCAGCACATAGATCAAAAACAATCAAATATATTAAATTATCCATAATTTATGTAGGCCTAGCTAACTATTGGACTATGGGGCCTAGGGGTAGTGCACTACACTACTAACCCGAAAGTCTCAAGTTCGAATCCAGGTTCAAGTCAGTAGAATGTCCCTGAGTTCACCCAGCTCTGATGGGTACCTAAGTAAGTTAGGGAAAGTAAAGGTAGCTGGGCATAGTGCTGACCACATTATCCCTTCATATGCCGAAGACGAAGTCATTGAGACAGGTGAACTCTAATATCTAATACTAATAATTCACTTGCCCCGTGTAACATCAGGTTCGAAATAGGGAACAGTAGGCCCACTAATTTAGTTTTATTACTCTAGTATTAGATTTGTATAATAAGTACTATAAGGCAAACTATTATATTAATTTAATTATTGGGCTACATCTCTAAGTCTGCAAGTCACAAGCTAAGACTCTAAGATATCTTGATTCTAAATTAAAACCAGATTTTATGAGCCTGTTAGTTAGCCAGGGCCTATTAATTTTTTAAAGTTTAAAGCATACCTGAGTAGTCCGACTTTCCATTTTCTGACACAGGGTGAAGAGTTAAGAAATCAATCAAAGCTTCAGTCAAACAAATAGTTTGAAAATCATCTTTTTCAGTCATATGTTTAATAAACACAGAACTCATAGATCTACATTTCAATTGTGCCATCTCGAATAATCTACTCTAGATTCTAGATCTAGATATCTAGATCTAATCCTATAGCCTATAGTAATTAAATCTAATAGGCCCTATAAATAATGTCTAATGACTCCGGGTTCTCTGTTTAATGTTTATTAAATAATGTTTATCTCTTGTCTAGAACTCTAGATTCCAGCCAGACATCTATTTAATAAATTTATTACCTCATAATTAAATGATAATTTACATGGTTCGCGAGTGTCATATTCTAGATCTAATTTAAATCTTCTAGATCTTGCTTCTAAAATGTTTATTTTATAATAATATAATAACTTAATAAGTCTAAAGTGAATAGATATTACTACATAAGGGTTTCAAAATAAACGTATTATTTGCGTAGTTAACGCATTCACCCATTTTAAAAATGGTGGTTGGCTATTTATATTTAGATCTAGGTTAGTCGTCTTCATGTGCCATTATATGGCATGGCATGGCAAGTGGATAAGTATTTGCCACTTAGGCTGATTTTCGACAAACGGAGATTTCGTCTACAAAAGTTTATTACGTTTTCTCCACGTGCAGAATTTTCTGGGGGGCATGTAAAATTATAAATAGGATTTCTTAAAATCTCCATATGAATAGATTATTAAAATTAACGAGAGGTGAATTATGATATTAATAAAATTATAGAGCTTCTATTATAGAGCCCACTCACTAAACATTAAAGGCCTGTATACACACTTATTTGTCATTCCGCATTTTCACGTTGAGCAGGTAAATTATTATGTGAAGCTAAATTGTCATATCGGGTTTTTCTATAAACAATTTAGGTTTCAGATACATTGAAGTAACTAAATTGTGTATTTAATGTCAAGCAGACCTACAATTATTCATTTGCTTGTTGGGAATTGTAAAAATCTTTTTTGACTCAACAAAAGATTACTTTTTTTTTCTTAAAGTAGGCCAAACTTAAAAGTGTTTGCTTGAAATTAATCATGTTATTATCTACCCAATTACTTTTATTATCGCATATAACGGAATTTCATGTGTAATTAGAATCAAAATTTGATATTCTTGACTACCTGAAAACTAAACGAAATCGCTGCATTAAAAAGTTGGTCGGAATCAGAGTTTCTTCCAGGCATCTCTTTTCACCAGTGCCTAGCCACCATTCTCTCATGGGCGGGGGTTTAAATTTGTCTTATGTGTGCTTGTGTATGTAGGGCCTATGCAGTGGAGCTGGTCACTATAGAAACTCTTGGGCTCCTTCAGCTAATTACGAACAGAGTTTCTTCCAGGCATCTCTTCGGGGGGGGGGGGGGGGGGCGTATACCCCCCCCCCCCCCCCCCAAAAAAAATGTTACCGCCCCCTCCCCCCGAACGAAATGAAATTTATATTATTTATATAGAAAATATATACTTTTAACAGTGTCCGCCCCCCCCCCCCCCGAAGAAAGTTTACCGCCCCCCCCCCCCCCCCCCGAAAATTTCAAGTGCCCCCCCCCCCCCCCCGGAGAAAAAAAGTCTGGAAGAAACACTGATTACGAAACCTTTAATATATTGTTTTTAACATGCAAACAATGTACATCTCATTAAAAAATTATTATTAACTTCAAATTTAAAAACGATATGTAATAAATTCAGAAGCAAATTGTGGTATATTACTAGATCTATAACACAACAAACATATAAAAATACTTTTCACTTTTCAAATTACTCATCTACAAAAGCAGTTTAAATCTGTTTGGACTGTTTGCTAATTAATTAAAAATCTGATCTGCTGAAAATTTTAAAATGCAAACCTTTTAGTCAATCCCCGAAAGTAGTCTTTTCATGTTCGCTGACTGCGGTTGTGGCATGCAATGTTACAATTAAAATTTGCAGTAGTTTGTGATCTTTTGGAAATATTTTTACGTCGGACATATAAAATGTTTGTTAAGCAATTCAGAAATCTAGCTGTAGGCCTACATTTCCACGATTTGTAATGTTGTGCACCAGTCTCATTTTCCCAACACCTACATCGATGACACATGTGTTAATCGAACGTTGACGTTTTTATGTGGTGGCATTCTTTTTCTGTTTCTTTGTTAAAACCAGAGTGATTGGACAAAGGGCACATACAATTTCCCAAAAGATGTATTTTTTTAGAGATCTAGATCTATATCCGATTTGACTTAATACTGAATTTCGAAAAGGAATTCACACATTGTGTAATATTCTTCAGGACTATTAGCTATTGAGGTGGATTGGAGTTGTTCTATTATAATACACTGACGAGAAGCCATGCTGTTTGTATATAGATTTTATTGGGCCTTCGCTACATGATGGAACGAGAGAGAGCGGAAGTGACGAGAGACAAAGATATATATACATGTAAGGGACATCACTCAAGATAACAGTATAAATATAATACTAATACAAGAAGAGTGAGTTCCCTTGACTTCACAAGTCTCACTATATTACATCCCTTTACCCTTAGTAAACACAACACATCTCTCAATAGAACAATTTGCAGTATCCTAAAATCACCAATTATATTGTAACATGAACACTATGGTAGATTACATCCTTGCAAACAATGCACAATATGTTACAACATAATTAAAATACAAAACAATGATGTCAAAGTCCTTTTGACCTTTAAAATCATAGGTCTAACTTATTTGGGACTTTGATTGTCCTGCTTGACCTTCTCAGTGGCTTTTGATTTGGTGACTCAAGATTCTGACCATCTGGATTCTCTATCTCAGGAGGTCTAGGATCAAAATCATTAATTCCAGAATTTACATTTTCTGACTCCAGACTACTTGGTTCACTCATATCAACAGAACTTGGTTGTGGAACAAACTGAGTTGGTGTGAACTGTTCAGATTTGGTGGGATTGACAGATTCACACTTATTATCTGCACAAGTTATTTTTAACTGGTCTGCATGTCCACGGACAATAAGTCCATCATTTGTTTTTACTTTATAAGACACAGGTCCTGTACATTGAACAATTTGACCTGGTATCCATTTTTCCTTTCTCCCATAATTTCTTAGATACACATTATCATTAACTGCAAATTCTCTTTCAATGGATGTCTTGTCATGATTTAATGGAACTATTTTTGAATTGGCATCTGAAAGTATTATGCTATTATTCAGATCCTTAACTGACATAGATTTCTTTGATTGATCAATTTTCTCAGGTAATCTGATAGTGCTTTTCTGGTAACCAAAAATACTGTTTAAAAGTAATATCCTGGACCATATCACTTTGCAACTGTGATCCAGTATTTGAAGTGGGTGTATTACATGGCAAAAATCTTTTTTTCTTTTGATGTTACCCTTTTAGTTTCTGTAAGTGCTAATGATGTTAGCAAAGTTGTTTGATGATCACATTCCTTCTTATTTAAAGCATTTGAAATTGCCATATCACCTTAATCATTTATTAAGTTACAAATACTTTGTTTAGGCAACTCTGACTGATAATGGACTGCATCTTCTCCATCTTTTAGACTTAATTCCATTTTTCTTATTTTATATGGCTTTAAGTCCTCATTCACTGACTCTTCAGGCCAACCATTTTTATAGTACTCATATACTTTTATTAAGCACTCATCTTTTTGTGTTTCTCTTTTAATATCATTCACATTTATATTGGAGTTATCCATGATAGTGAAGAGAACAAATACATCTTCTGGTACATAGCTAAGGCTTTGGTTTTTTTAAAGGTAATCTACTAAGACTATCTGCACTATTCTCAGATCCAGGTTTGTATTTCAATTCATAATTGTATGCAGTTAGTGTGATAGCCCATCTTTGAATTCTTGGTGAGGCATGCTCAGGTAGGGTTTTGTTTTCTCCAAATAAACCTAGCAATGGTTTATGATCTGTAAAGATGGTGAACTTCCTACCAAACAGAAACTTATGAAATTTCTTAACACCCAAAAATGATGCCTAAGCCTTCCCTATCTAACTGAGAATAATTTTTCTCAGCCTGGTTCAAAGATCTACTGGCAAAAGCAATGGGTCTGTCACCATTTTCATCCATGTGGGACAAGACTGCTCCTACACCATCTGGTGAAGCATCACATGTTAATATAAGTCTTTTCCCTGGGTCATAGTGAGTTAGTAAGGTGTAAGAAGACAAAGTTTCTTTTGCTGTATTAAAAGCAGCTTCTTGTTGTTTACCCCAGTGCCAAGTTGCATTTTTCTGTAGCAGCTTGTACAGTGGTGATAGTTTACCAGACAGATTCCTTATGAACTTTGCATAGTAATTTATCAAGCCCAAAAAAAGCTCTTAGTTGTTGGGTATTTTCAGGTTTGGGTGCTTCTTTAATGGCTTTTGTTTTCTCAGGTTGAGGTCTGATGCCTTGCTTGCTTAATATATAACCAAGAAAACTAATTTCTGTCAGCATGAATTGACATTTATCTTTGTTTATCTTTAAACCTTTTTCACCAACTATTTTCAAGACTTTATCAAGTGTTTTAAGATGTTCAGTGTCATTCTTACCAGTTATGTACACATTGTCAAAATAAACACAAACATTTGGAATATCCTTAAAAATACTGTCCATGACAGCTTGGAAAATTCCAGGGCTGGATGATATACCAAAACATAGTCTTTCATATTGGTAGAGTCCTTTATGTGTGTTTATTGTCGTATAGACTTTTGAATCTGGATGCAGTTCTAGTTGAGTGTAAGCATGGCTAAAGTCTAATTCAGTGAATTTGTCTCCTCCTGCCAAATTCAAAGAAATTTCCTCAATGTTAGGAATAGGGTACCTATTTAGCTCTATTTGCTTATTCAGTGTAGCTTTATAGTCTCCACAAATTCTTACAGAACCATCCTTCTTTAACACTGGCACAATGGGCGTTGCCCAATCGGAATAGTCTACCTTCTTTATGATGCCATTAGATTCCAATCTACTTAGCTCATTTTCAATTTTATTCCTCATTGCATAAGGTGGAACTCTAGCTTTGCAGTATCTTGGATTTGTGTTTTTAATGCTTATCTTCACTGTTCTATCATTTAGTAATCCAGGATTACC